TGATGTAGACATCACTATAAGATGATGTGATGTATCTGTCTAGCAATCTATCTCCCTATCATCCAGTATTAAAATCCCTTTTCCTGTAGGAAAATCTTTCCATTGTTCAGGAGGAGCTGATCCAGCTCACTGTCAGCACTGAGGTGGACTCGAGACCCGGGCCAGGCCAATCAGAATTACCTTACCTTCCCAGCCTTATTAGTCAATTCAGGGATGGCAGCTTCCCAAGGCAAGCCAATCAGGCATTTTTTTTTTTTTTAACTGCAGGAGCTATAGCACAAGATGGTCCCTTTTAAATCAAGATGCAAAACTGAAAGGATAAGAAGCCAAGCGAGCCAGCAACCCTGTTGCCCACTTGGTGGCCTGTCCAGATAATTAAGGCAAGAAAATTTAAGCAGAACAGAGACACAGAGACACAGATTCCTGATGACAAAATATGAACTCTGGAATCCAATCATGTCAAAATCATCTCTGCCCCGGACTTCCCAGTTACGTGAGCCAACAAATTTCCTTTTTAATTTAAGCTACCTTGAGTTAAGGTTATGTCTCATGTAGTAGAGAGAGTCCTAACTAATATAATGGCACAAATACTTTCACTTATATATCCGTATAAAGACACTAGAAAGCCTCTATCTTGTCACCTTGGACTCTGTGGAATCTTCATTTTCAGGAAAACTAAGAAGTAGCTCTACTTTTCATTTCTTAGTCCATTGGTTAAATCTTCTCCTAAACCTGGGAGGTGCATTAAAGGATTCGTAATTTTTAAACCTTATTTTATTTTGAAATACAATACACAGAAAAAAACATAAAAGTTAAATGTATACTTTAATGAATAATTGCTTATGAAGTAAAAACAGGTTAAGAAATAGAATGCTATCAATACTCCTGAAGATCCCTGCATGTCCCTTCCCAATCATGACTCCCAATTCCTCCCCAGAGAAATCACCATCCTGACTTTAAAAGTAATCACTTCACTGGTGTTATTTATATTTTACCATCTATGTAGCATTCTAGAAAAAGAGTTTAGTTTTGTCTGTTATTCAACTTTATACTAAATGGAATCATAACAAATGATACCAAATATACTTTTCTTTCTTACTAAACCTTATGTTTGTATAATTCATTCATATTAACCTATGTAGTATAAAACATTCATTTCATTGCTGTATAGCGTTCTTCTATGTGAATATACCACAATTTATTCATTTTAATGCCTAATTACAATTATAATATTAGACATTCTAATAGTGGACATTTGAGTTGACTAATATAAACACTGATCCTAGAACAATTCTAATACATGACCGAGGTGTACGTGTGCATAAATTCGACTAAGGTATATATATCCAGGAGTGGAATTTCTGGGAACGCATATCTTTATCAGATAAAGCCAAACTGGTTTCCAAAGGAGTTGTGCCTAGTCATAGTGTTTTAAAAAATTCAATAGTTTTAAATATTCTGGATTATCCAAAAATAATCCTTTCTGCAGTTGGAAAGCTTCCATACATGTCAATATTACTATACATACAGTAATTTAACAATAAAAAGGAGCATGATTTTCTGAAGGTCTAAAAAAGTATATGTTCAGTAACAAAAAAGTAAAGCTGCTTGACAATAAATATGTTAGAAAAATATACTGGGGTAAAAATTACCTAAAATATTTTATATGATTTTTAAAGAAATGAAACATATAAAAGGATATTATTTTCCAATTAAGTAAAGACTAATACTATAATGATGCTATTACTGATTATTATTGCATATTTAACTTCAAAGGCAGATGAACACTATAATGGCTAAAAGCAATCTGTGCTGTAACATTCTTCTCCAACTGTAAATGACAAATTTCTTATAATTTCATCAACAGATATAACAGCATCTATTGTGATAAACACTTAATTCTTCCACTGCCTCAACTACTACAAGTTACAAAGCTATAAAAAACATCTGGAAATTTCCAAGCACAGAAGAAGCTAATTATGTGTTAAAACTACCTAGACTTCAGTAAAAACTTAAAAATTCTAAACTTTTGTTTTTGGTCTTTCTTTCCTCTTAGGCAGTGAATGTGAAATATAAATGACCATGGGTGAGGAAAAGACAGCATCCCAAAAAGAAGCCGTTTCTGACAATGATTAATACGGAGCCGCCAAAGGATGTCTGGCAGCAAAAAGAAGCAATAGCTTATGTAACTGATGAAAAATTAGTCAGTAAGACCCTAATAACATATCTCCCTGGAACCTGTGATAGTGTATTTGATGAATTGTTTAAGCTAGACTGTATTCTTCTACCTGTTTCAACCATGGAGGCAAAAATATGGAAAAGAAAAAAATTACAGTTACCTTCTCTTATTTAAATTGGTTAATGGATGTATTGGGCAGTTAGTGAAATATGCTGATTAATATAATTATCACACATACTGTCAATTAAAAATTACAATATAATATGTTTTTCATTAACACTGCTGAATATCAGTTATTCTTTCCTCAAGGATTCTGAAGACATTTCTATATTTTCAGTTATTTTTATAAGCCATGGCAACAACTGCATAATTCTATCAATGTAGAAAGTGTAACAGATTGGACTGAATTTCTATCCACCTTATGACATATTTTGGAAGCAATTTTGCTGAATAAGTTTACAACAGCCAACTTGCCATGTGACCCTTATAATACGAGAGTAGATAATGTATAAAAAAATTCTGGATATTTGAGCTTTCCAGTTATTTAAATCATTGTTTCTCTTTTTCTCAGGGGGAGGTGTTTCCAAGTAAATATGAACTTACAATTAACTAAACCTCTGTTAAATCTCAGAACAGATTTCTCAGAGAGATGATATTCTCACTGAAGTTTAATCAATAATATTATAATGTGTTTAACAGGGTTACAGGTCTAAAATGCTAAACTACAATAGAATCAAAGATTATTTTATGGAAGACAAAGCTTCACCACTCATGGCTTGGACATCAGCTTCTCAGCAGAGTGATTATAAAGGCTCCTTTTGAAGAAAGATGGCTTTGAACCTTGGTGAACGTGTCCATGTCGCTGCTTAAATTCTCCAGCCCCGTGTAGTAGGGACCTGACTATTCTAGATACTAGGTAGGTTTAGCAGTACAACCAGGGGCCCAAGAATTTGTGGCTATAAAGTGCTTCATTATCACAGGAGATCCTAAGAAGATGGGCTATGGAGATATCCAGGAAAGAAGGATAAGGAGAAGATCGAGAAGACCAGAAACAGGTGATAACGTGACAAAGGAAGAAGTCAAACTCTGAGTGAATAATCACAATAGAACAATTGTATATCATTATTATCACTAGAATAAAGTTATCAGAATTAGGACCATGAATCTACCATAATTGCTCTTCACTTCCAGAATGCAAACCTATGTTTTCATTTTAAACTTGCTGGACCTCTCTGCTGCATTTAACTTTATACATTGCTTCCTCCCTCTTGAAAACTCAGAAATTCCTCAAAGATTCCTCTTCCTCATCAGCCCTTTAAATACCTGGCATTCCTGGCCTCTATCCTGTTCTTCTTACTCTATTCTTCTTAGATGATCTGATCCACTCTTGTGATTTCAGCTTGGATTTCTCCCCCAGTATCAGTCTCCAGTATCCAACTGGTTGCTGGACAGCTTCACTCAGATGTCCTCAAAATATCCCAAACTCAAAGAATTTAAAAAAAAAATTCATCATCAACTTCTAACGTTTTTCCTCCATTCAATCTCAATGGATGTATTTTCTACCTCAGCTCAAAATACCACAGTTCATCCAGTCATCAAAGCTAGAAAACTAGACATGCTACCTTTAACCATTTCTTTGTTAATTTATCCATAAAACCTACCAATTCTACCCCCTTCATGTTTCTTAATTCTGTTTATTTTTCTCTGGATCTCTACATCTCTCATTTAGATTGATATTTCCCAACTGGTCTCTCTGCTGCTGCTGCTCATTCCTTCAATTCCACCCTCTACACGAGTATAATAAGAATTTATCTGAAAGGAACATCTGACTATCATTACCTCGCTTCAAACTGATCAATGGCTCCTCATTAGCTTTAGAGTAAAACCCACATTTCTTGACATGATTACAAAGTCTTCATAATTTGGTCCCTGCTCATCTGACCATTTTTACCTCATACCTCTCCCTGCATACAATTCCTACATAACTGCATGGAAATTGTTCCCTTTCTATGCTGTGCCCTTTTGTGTTTCCATACATTTGCTCACGTTGTTCCTTTTGTCCTGCAATCTCTACTCCCTCCATGTCCCTCTCGCTTCCCCCAATCTAAATTATTTATGTCTTAGCAAAGCTACCACCTCCTCCAGAAAGTCCTTCCTGAAAGTTCTGGCAGAGCTGGGTTGGGTAATTCTGCTTTCTATTCCCTTATTCTGTGTATTGCTTGCTCTTAGCACACTGTAAGTTCTTCTTTAGTGAATATCAGAAAAATCAATAAAGACACATAAAAAGAATAAAATTAATAAGTATGTGCCTACATTAATTGTGCCTCATCCTGGACCATGAGGCCTTTGAGAACATAAATGATAAATTATTCATATTTGTAATCCTACTTCCTAGCCCAGTACTGACAATCGATGCTCAATAAATGTTCTGTTAAATGAAGGTGACTGAGAGGAAAGAAAGTATACAAAAATAAATCACAGAAAAGATAAGAGACTTCCTTGCCACATTCCTTCATAATGGTCGTGGTCCTGTTCATATTTGGGCGGTTACATTGACTTCTTTAATTCTAGAAGGTTCTAGTTAAAAATAACTCCAAATAAGTAATTTTTTCCCTTCTAGACAGCAAAATTAATTCTATTGAGAAACTATCCTGTTCTTGACATCAGATCTCTTACTTATCACCAAAGGTACATTTTTAAAAAGATACGCCATGTGTAATCTCCATCGGTAAATGGAAAATAACAAGGAAGAACAAAACCAAGCAGAAAATAAAATAAACTTGGCAGTACCATGCCATTTATTATATGGAAAATTACTTACGTGCAGCAGCAATACAGCAGCAAGAAAAGACTGTCCTTGACAGTACCCAATGTCTTCATCATAGACAGAGTAGGCCTAGAGAAAAGATGAAGAGAAAGAAATATTGTAAACATTCACAGTTTTTAACTTAAGTGTTAGCTCACATCAGGCTTGCTGCTTGCTCTTGTCCCTGGGCTGTCCACCACAATTTCACTGATCCTTCAACTTGGATGTGTGAGCCATTATCACAGTGGGATCCCCCAAAGAGGCTGCACATTTCCTAAAGTAATTCTAGATGTCCTGTTACCCCCAGGTTCGTCTTTAGAATTTGGAATAAAGAGATGTTCAGAGCACCTAAATTAATTTTAAAAGATCCATTATGGTTTGTGGTCAGGCAAATGAGACCATGGGAGGCAGGAGCAAAAGGTGGAAGAGGGTGGGAAGGTTCTAGAGTTGATGTGGGAGTTCAAATGCACCATATGAGGGAAATCTTAATGCTGCTGAAAGTATAGTGCAGATCCCCTAACTAACAGACAAAAAATTCACCCTCTGTAACCTCTAGAAGTTTTCAAAGACCTTCTAAACTACTCTCCCACTTTCCAGAAGGCTGACGGGTAAAAATGACTCCTTCCATCTATACCACTGGGGCAAACCAGGAACATTTAGCACTGCCCTGCAATTTTTGTAGAATGGCTGAGACAGAGCCTTATGCCACATATGCTCCCACCATCACAGGTATTCTGGCTATTTACCATCTTCAACATCATTCTAACCAGGACCGCTGGCATATAGCCAGAGGCCCATTCACAGGAAATATAGTACTCCTTGGGAAGTAGCTATCATACCATTCAACTTAATACTCACCTTAGTCTTCAGAGGAGAGGAAATAAGGTTGTATGCTTAATATACACTAACTAGTACTTCAAACTGCTGAGATTATACTTTTTTTAAAAAGATACCCTGCACAAGTTTTTAGGAGGTTGAATTAGTTACAGTAGGCAAAGTGTACTGACCAAAGAGTAAAAAATATGAATTAGCATCATTTTCTGTACAAGTCCAAATAGTAAATATTTTAGGCTTTGAGGGACACTTACATATCTGTTGCATATTGGTTTTTTTTTTTTTAAACAACCCCTTAAAATATAAAAACCATTCACAGCTCAAGGGCAGTACAAAAGCAGGCAGCATGGGTCATAGTTTACTGATCCCTGATTTAGAACAAAAAAATTCGTTCAGGTGCTCCCACATTTATTTTTAAAAGACAAACATCCCAACTGTGCTGTTTGAGTCTTGGACATGTTATTCCATCTACGTGTTGTGCTTCATTTTAGTGAGGGGATTTCCATTTAACATGCTGAATTACAATGCATTATGATTTTGTGAGTATAAAAATTGTCTCTGTCCAGGGCAATGGTTATCAAAGATAACTAGGAAAGGTTACTATAGGGAGGGTAAGTGTAGAATCTCCCATATGCCAAGGTAGTGAGAGTACAGGGTCTGGAACTCTTATTTTGCTTAAAAAAAAAACTTTACTGAAATACAGCTTGTATTCAATGAAATACATACTTTTTAATTCCTTGGGTTGAGTTACTTATATAACCCCATCATTACAGAATATTTCCATCATTCTAGGACATCCCTCCTGCCTCTTTGCAGCCAAACCACCTCTACCCCAGGCAACCACTGATCTGATTTTTACCACAATATATTATGAACTTTGCATTTTTAAAGAATTTCATATAAATGGAATCATATAATATATACTTTTTTGTGTCTGGTTTCTTTTACTCAACATAATGTTTCTGAGATTCTTCCACATTGTTGAATGAATCAGTAGTTCATTCTTTTTAATCGATGAGTAGTATTCCACCCTCCGAACATACCACAATTTGTTTATCCATTCTCCTGTTGATGAACATTCGGGTTTTTTCCAGTTTGGGGCTAGTATGAATAAAGTTTCTATGTTTACACAAGACTTTTTGTGGATATAGGTTTTCATGTTTTTTGGGTAAATACCTAGGTGTAGAGGTTCAAGGTTCAAATGACAAGTGTATGTTTAATTTTATAAGGAATTGCCAAACTGTTTTCCAAAATGGTTGTACAATTATTATACCCACACCAGAAAAGTAAAAGAGTACTCACTGCTTCACATCCTTGTCAATACTTGATATTTCCAGTATTTTTCCTTTTATTAATTCCTGTGGTTATGACTTGCATTTCTCTGATGGTTGATGATATAGAGCACATTATCATGTGCTTGTAGGCAACTGATATATGTTCTTTTATGACTGTCTCTTCAAGTTCTTGCCCATTTGTTTAAGTTGTTTATCTTATTAATGTTGATTCATGGGAGTTATTTATACATTCTGCTTACAAGTCCATTGTCAGACATATGTATTGCCTCCCAGTCTGTGTATTTTCTCCCTGCCTTTTCATTTTCTTAATGGTGTCTTTTGAAGTACTATCATTCTCTTTTAACCTTCTTCTGCTAATGATGATATTATCACACTCTTTTCTAATGAGAAAAAAATTAGATCATGGAATCATTACCTAATGAATCTGAAAGGAGCTTTTCTTCATTATCACCAGTTTCCAGAGCTCTGCCTAATTTTGAAAATTGAAAGATGGATTAGCATCCTTTTACTTATTTAATTTTCTTTGATTTATATGGTTATATTTCTGATTGCTTAATTTGTACTCTTATCCAGAGCTCATGTGTGTGTGTGTGTGTGTGTGTGTGTGTGTGTGTGTGTGTGTGTGTATGTTAGGGGTTGGAAGAAGGATTACAGACAGAGAAGAGAAAGAACAAAAAGTGAAGAAAGAGGGGAAAGGTTCTAATATTATCCCTATTTGGAGCATTCCTGATGGTGGTCTGTCACTTCTTTCTCCATGAACAAGGAACTCTGGGATTTGTTGGTAAGAGAGCATGTTATATGAGTGATAAACATATTTTCAAGGCTCCCCCTCTCCCCATGAAAGATGTCAAAGTTGAGGATTCCTTACAACTGTGGGTCTCCAGAAGTCGATCATACTTCATCAACTCTAACATCACTTTGACAAATGTTTGATCCTCTTTATATAAACATATTTAACATTTATTGAGAAGTGTTCTATTTATACGACCATTTGTGTTACAAGAGAAGTCCAATAGAAAATGAAGGTCCACAATACACCAGACAGAGAAGGTATGATTCAGTTCTCCACAGAGCATTCTCTAACTAGAGAGCTGAGAACAAAAGTGTAAATCAGTAATGCATTGATCTTACTTTCTACTTGTTTTATGGTTTTGGGTTAGGATAGCAGCAAAAGTAACTTTTCAGAGGCCACCTAATAAATCAATTTTATTTATGATTCACAGTTTGAGAAACACAGTGTTCTAGCAAGTCCTTTCCCTTGGAGTTCTTACAAGCACTGTTTAGGTTTAGTCCAAGCCTTCTTTAACCAGTTGAACCGAATCCTTTCCCTCTACTCTTGCCTCTCTTTCCACCATACCTCTCCCCACTCCTCACTTTAATTGCTTCTCTGGCCAGACGCCTGCTCAGTCCAACTTTTAAAAACCATCTGGGTACGACTTCTGTAATGGAGGAGCAGCTCCTGTTGAACCAACTTTCCCTCTGGTAACAAATTTAAACTATATCTGTCAAATGTATAAAACAATGAACTGAAGGTACTGAAAAGCTAAACAAAAGCAAGCAGAAACTGGAGGGGAGCATAAACCTGGAAGAATGGAATGACACTGGGTAATAAAATTTCCATTCTTTATGGCTTTTGCCAGAGGTCAGGCACCAGTGGTACCACACTGGATGGCTAAAACTTGGATACAAAACTGTAGTCTGCTTGGCTTGAAGAACCAGAGAACAGGTTGGGGTAACCATAACAGCTAGAAAGCAAGAGTGAAAATTCTAGAAGAAAGAAAGTAACAGAAGAGAAGCCCTTACTATACTTACTGTAAAATTACAGTATTCAAGACAATGTAAAACTGATATATAAGGAGAGATAAATAATCAATAGAACAAAGTAAGTCTAGAAGTAGAGCCATACTTATACAGTCATTTGATTTCAACAAAGCTACCAAGGTAACACAATGAGAAAAGGAAAATTGTTTACATATGCAAATATGTAAATATATGAAAATTGTTTCAACAAATGTCCTTGAACAACTGTATATCTATATGGGGGAAACAAATGAATCCTGATTCCTACCTCACTTTATACACAAAAATTAATTCCAGATGTATCATAGTCCTAAACATAAAACTAAAACTATAAAGCTAGTCAATGAAAACAGAATATCTTTGTAATTTGGTGAAGGCAAAGGCTTCTTAGGGCACAGAAGCACTAACTATAAAAGAATAAACTGATAGACTAGATATCATCAAAATTTAAAAAAGCCTCCACTGATGAAAGGACACGATTGAGAAAATAAATAGATAAACCACAGACTGGGAAAATATTTGCAAACATATCTGAAAAAGGTCTTGTATATATAGAACTCCTACAACTCAATGTCAAACAACCGAAGTTAAAAATGGACAGAAGATTTGAAAAGACACTTGACAAAGGAATCTCTATGAGTGGGAAATAAAAACATGGTCAAGTGTTTGACATCATTAGCCATTAAATTAAAATGAAATTAAAGCCACAATGCGATGTTACTACATAGCCACCAGAAGCTAACATAAAAAAGCCTGATAACACCAAATGTTAGTATCCTTGGATTCTCAAACATTGTTGGTAGGAATGTAAAATAGTAAAACTACTTTGTAAAATTGTTTCGCAGTTTAAAAAAACTAAATATACACCTACCCAATGACTCAGCAATTCCATATCTATATATTCACTCAAGAGAAATGAATGCAAATGTACATGTCTCTGTTTGACTTATTTCGCTTAGCATAATACCCTCAAGGTCCATTCATGTTGTTGCAAATGGCAAGATTTAATCTTTTTTATGGCTGAGCAGTATTCCACTGTAGATATATATATACCACATCTCCAAGAGTACTTCACATATTCACTCAGCAAGCCACTATTTACTGAGCACCTATTATGTATCAAACACTGTACTTAGTGAAGTGGCTACAAAGATGTACATA